ACAGCATTCATGAAACACCTAACACGGGCAATGTCAGACTCACGACTGGTGTCTGCTGTGAGAGGAGGTGTGTCCCAGCCAGCGGGTGGAGGACTCAGATTACAGATTGTCCTTAAGAGCACTATGAAGAGGGGGATATCAAAGCTTGCAGATGTCACTTCAGAGGATGAAGAAGGATACAATTTACTCCACTGGAGTGAGTTTAACACCCCTCGCTTTCGAAGTAACAAAAGTTTAGAGTGTGCTTGATGTTTCAAACACATATGAAGACTCTGTGGTGGAATTATTTTGTCAAAGGTTGCCCTGAGTGCCTTTGAACCCAAGGTGATTAGAAGACGACATAAATGGGGATAATTTAATCTCTCATTACTGCAAGCAAAGTGAGTTGATTCAGGATCTATAAGGCAGAATGACAAAAATTCATTAATCAAAATTTTCACTTTTTATGGTTGCTATAAGTAATTAACCGTTGCCAAATTCTACAAGCTTTTAACTACAGGGTTTGTGCTGACTTATTCCAAAACAATACTTTACTTTTCCAGATAATTTCAAGGTTAACAAAACTAATAGGTGATCACTTAAACACCTTGAAAAACACCGGATCCAAGCTTTTTTCATGATGTACTGTAAACATTATGGTAAACAAGGTGTAATGTGGACATTCTGTGATTAAATGTCTTCAATACAGGGGAGATTGAATGGAAATTGACCACAGGGAAAAAATCACTTATTAAGCAACTGTTGTATAGCTATGAAAAAAAGGTCCAGAGTTTTTACTATTTTTCCAGAGACTTTTTTTGTATTTTTTGTACTTTTCCAGGTGTTACGGGTTATGGGTTCAATTGACAACCCTGCAAATGGCAACTGGAATTAAGGCTTTTACCTCTTAACATGCCATGACACTGCCATGGGTCTACCATAATATTTTGTATTACTAGGTGTCTAACCCTTATAGAGACAATTTGTTGAGTAAAACCACTGTCCACTCCTGGTTGCTGTCTGTCACCCAAAAAACCACTTTCAACCAAGCTCTCAAATGTATGACAAAAAATATTTTTTGCAGAAAAAAAAAATACATACATAATAAAATGATAACAATAAGAATAAATTTAATAGAATTCACTTCATTTTTTAAATAATAATAATATTTATTACTTGACATTGTGCAAATTAATAAAGTAATACATGATTAAAATAATGTACATGATTAAATTGACATTCATACCGTGAACCCAACTGATCATCTTCTCAGTAAGATCTTTAATCTGTTTTGCCCAGTTGTAATTTTTGTCAAAGGAATCACGCAACATTTTCGCTTCCTCCAGTCGACTTTTCCTGTCCTTGGCCCAGATTTTCTTAATAGCCGAGGTCCAATCCATGGGTTCATCTGAGTTAACAACATATGTTGAACCAAAAGGTACACAACACAAAGCTTCTCCAAAACCAGAGTTACTGCTGACGAGCACAGAGAGACCAGCTGACAGGGCCTCAAGTCCTGTCAATCCAAAGCCTTCTGTTCTTGAAGGCATGATTACAAGATCCACTTCTTGAAACAAGTCCTTCAAACTCTCTCGCTCTTTAACAAATCCTCTTACTCTCAAGCGCCTTGCAGGAACACCACATTCAGTCAACCGTTTTGCTATTTCTTCGTGTTTTCCATCTGGGGCTCCAACAAACACAAGACGAGTATCTTCTAATGCAGAAATCGCTTTTCCTGCAATGTCAAACCCTTTTAATTCAAAATCTTCTACGTCTCCACGACCAAACACTAAGACACTACGTTGTTGCCGTTCACTAGGAACCTGCTTCAAGGCTGCGAACTCTTCAAATACTCCAGGAGTGAAGTCAAGAACAGTGTCATCTTTTCTACAGCTACGTAGATATGAACGGAAGGCCTCACTCAACTTGGGTCCAACTCCTACAACATGATCCGCCATTTTACACAGTTCTACTTCAGTCTTGTGCTTTTCTTCGCCCTTTGAAATTGGGTTGGAATAGTTTTTAAACATCCCAAGTTCTTCAGGGTCTGTGTGCACCACTTGAAGCCATATGCACTTTTTAGATTTTTTTATGATTTGTGCTTGTTTACCAAGTTTAACTCCATGACCCACAATAATATCAATTTGCAGATCATCTGGAGGGAACTAAGCCACTCCAGTTGTTCAAAGCCAGGTAGTGGTGTTGCCTCCACGATCTTCACATTGTTTTGTAAGGCAGCCTTCTTGTCCTCTTGACTGCATTGTGGTAAAAAGAAAGTGATTTCCACTTCAGGGCATTTGGCTAACTGAAGAGCTAATTCTCTGTTTATGGTAGAAAGCCCCCCTTTGCTAGATCCCCATTCAGAAGCCAATATCGTGACTTCCACTTTGTGAAAGCCGCACACTTGGTCATCACTCATGCCTGTTTAAACTCTTTGTACAGAAGATGCCATTACCATATATCAAAGTTGCCAAATTTCTACAAAATGATAGACAAAAACAGAGAACAATATATTATGATAACATTTCCAAAATTCCCGCTAGGGTTCTTTTCAGAACACCAAATGAATGCCAAATCAGGGGCACTGTTCCGCTACCTCAACCGATATTTCAGGGTTTTTGTTAGACCCGGGACGCCAGGACCTTTACTCGGGTATTTCAATTCTCGTCCCGGCTATTTTATCAGGCGGTGCTCATAGATATTTATAATTCTATTCCCTGTTGTTAAAATAGAAACCGAATAACAAGAATTGTATGGTATATGTTTTCAAGAACAGAAAGCCAAATTGGCCAGAAATTGCCCAAAATGTACCCTGGGACCTTAAAAATTCTAAAACAGTGGGAGGGGGCGCGCCCCCTCTTACACCTACCCCGACTTGACACTGCGTGTAAAGATGGTGGCTCTGCCACCATCCTTAGTCCTTGCTATTGACACATTTCTCCCAGCTACTTCAAATCTTAACAAAAACCCTGGATATTTGGTCTTGGCCGAGATAGGGCAGCATAACCAGCGAAGTTGAAATTACTTTTTATAAGGTAAAAAAGGAAAGAACTTACATAGGCTGGGTTGATGTGAAAAAACTAGAGAGTAAATAAGACAATGACTATTATACTTTGCTAAAGGAAATCCGAGCGTAACAGATTGACCAATAATAAGGATTTACGACAGATACTATCTCTAAAATGACTAACCTACATCTCAAGCGGAAATAATCACAAAATAGAAAAATGATTGTTTATATAACGTTCAGTGGCGTGACGGCACAGGCACTCAATGACTGTTTTCTGTAAAATATCTGTTGGGAGAAGCAAAAATTGCCTGGACTTTTCTACAGCTTGAGGAAGGCTAAAAATTTCTACTTGACTGTTCCATTCATGTACAATTTTCGAAGGTTATCTAATAAATTCCCTAAGATTTTCTAAAGTATAATTTTTCACATTTCACTCTCCAGGTTAAGCCATTGTTCATAGAAAATGGAAACCTAAAATTTTTCGGATTCGAAAAATTATGTGATGGAGAGAGGAATCAGAAAAATTCTTACTTTTGTAAAACTTTACATTTTGCATCTAAAATTTTTGGGAAAATAATACTGAAGCCCTTGTAATTTCAAAAACGCTCAATTTTTTTCCCATCCTTGACAAATGAGCCAATATGCTTGTTTTTCCAGTAAAATCGTCTGTGTAGTTATGTTCTAATAGGAAACCGCGTGCGTGTCAAAAGGTCGGGGTTGGCCCTGGGGTTGGGAAATGCTCGGCCCCTGGGCAGCGCAAGATTTGCAAATGCCCAGCAGTAGCAGGGGGGGCTCTGCACAGCTGGAATTGACCAATGCATTACCACGCTTCCATAATACCAAACTTCCACACTTCTTCCACAGTTTTCGTTCTAAAAGTTAAGTTGAATCTATTTTCCTTTTAGTTGATATGTAATCATTAATATCGTTTAGTGTATCAGTAGTCTCATGTCATAACTGTTGTCATTTATTACTAATAATACCATTAGTTTATCAGTAGTCTCTAGTGATTGTTGTCAATTTTAGTTTCTTTAGTTCTCTTGTTACTTTTAGCTGTATTTAGTTGTATTTATTTCCTGTAAACATGACCCGCCTAGATTAGCTGAATGGAAGTGGTTTCGCCCCCTTGCAAATTCGCCCCGTTCCAATCGAGTACGCCTCCTTTGTGACGAGTTCGCCCCCCTATATATCTTGCATCGGTGTCTGCAGTCAGGGTCTCCATTCAGCTAATCTAGGCGGGTCATGTTTACAGGAAATAAATACAACTAAATACAGCTAAAAGTAACAAGAGAACTAAAGAAACTAAAATTGACAACAATCACTAGAGACTACTGATAAACTAATGGTATTATTAGTAATAAATGACAACAGTTATGACATGAGACTACTGAATGGAAGTGGTTTCGCCCCCTTGCAAATTCGCCCCGTTCCAATCGAGTACGCCTCCTTTGTGACGAGTTCGCCCCCCTATATATCTTGCATCGGTGTCTGCAGTCAGGGTCTTATTTCCCTGAAAACATTGCTTGTAACTGAATTGCTGTTTCGCCATTCGCGATAGCATCTCAGTTTGATATTCCGCCCTTCGCTGTTTGTGAGACGTGATTGCGTACGTAAAAGTTTCGATTTGAATATACATGTAAAGCTTCAGAAAACTTCAGAAACCTCCAAGAGCTTCTGAGCTTTGAGAGCAATATATAGTCTCGTGCAATGCAATCCGCTTTTGAAACATCGCACAATTTTTCATCACGGTAGTTGCAGTCACGTGCTAGGTAACGAAAAAGTTCACGTGTATCAAGTTCCATCGCGTAAAAAAAACAAGGCCAATTTTACGAGAGATTAACTCAAACTCACTTCGAAGTTAAATGCAGGACGACGGCCAAACATAACAAACACAAGATTTTTTTATCTTGTCGAACGCAAAAGTAAAGGACTTGCAGACTTTATTAAAAATGTTTATTGTAACGCACTAATATAACATGCGACACAAAATCGAATTCTACCGTGAGCGAGTTTCCTTCTATGTAGCACACGCATCAAGTCGATGTTGAACTCTAAACTTCAAGGAGACACAAACGAAAAAAGGTTAGCGTATTGACACTAGTAGATAAACATGATCCAGATGTACATGGGGCGAACTCGATCGTTTTGGGGGGCGAACCAGGTTCCTTGAGGGGCGAACTATAACGGGGCGAACTCGTTACGGGGCGAAACCACTGGATTCCGATTAGCTTCGCTACCCGCGGGCATATTATTGTACTTTTACCTCAAAACACAGTAAAATAAAATGTATATATGTATGTATGTGGTCCACACTCTGGCACTTTGGGACATAAATTATGCTATTAGATGTATATTACGAGTCACTGCTCTTGTTCACTTGCATTAAACATTCCCTTTGGATGCGAGAGCTCCATGTACGCGCGTGTGCTGCAAATGAATCCAGCCTCTGACTAAAGGATAACTACATAGAGACTAGCGGCAATTTAGATGCAATTTCCCCCCACTTTTGTGGAGTAAAAAATAACTTTCTTCAGGAATAATAACACTATTGTGTGCCATACCGTCTGACAATAAGTTAATTGTGGCAAAATAAACGATTTGTAAATTCTAAGCTTTGCTAATGTTGGTATTAAATTTTGCAGTCTCATCAGTACCCCTGTTTTCCTAGATATTCTTTTAGATAGCTCATCCAAGTGGCTAGTAAACTTCAGATGCTCATCAAAAGTGACACCCAATAGCTTCATTTCTGCATATTTGTCAAGGACTTCGATTTTCATTCCTTCGTTTATGTACTTCATTTGTCAGGATTACAAACTTACCAAGAGCTTTCGTTCGTTCATATCGTGAACTTGAGATTTCAAAGGCAACACCAAAGCATAAAAGACGTAAATTTCTTCGTGTAGAACTATTAATAAGGAACAATACTACTTCTGTACTCGACACACCTCAGAAGTCTAGAAACTAAAAGCGGAAGACGCTCTTCACAGTTAAAGGGGCTATGTCAGCTGGAGAGCATGCGCTCTGAGGTTATGCAAATTACTTTCAACTGTCAAAATTCTATTGTTTTTAACGCGTGACTTTCTTCATGTTCTCTGTCACGTCCAAGGTTCCGAATTTAGAGAGGTTTAGCGAAATGGGTTTAGATAGGGAATTAACATATTTGCAAATTTTCATAAAAAGTCAGACTGTACTGCATAAATAATTTTGTGCCTAAATCTTTATCCAGTATATATATTTTTCTACTCATGTGAATTATACTTATAAAAATTTTTGGGCAAACAATTTCTTTCTACCTGTATATTGATATTCATTACTAGTAAAGAATTTTGGACGAAGAACTCCACGCAAGGTCAATCATTCTGTATTATTATGAATATATCAGTAAAAAATTTTGGTCAAGAAACTATATGTCAATCATTCTGTGTAACAGTAAATATATACTTGTAAAAAAATTTGGGCGAAGAACTCTACGCGAGGTCAATCATTCTGTATAATAGTAAATATATCACTAGTAAAAAAATTTAGGCGAAGAACTCCACGCAGGCTCAGTCATTCTGTATAATAATAAATATGTACTAGTAAAAAATTTTGGGCGAGGAACTCTACGCGAGGTCCATCATTCCATACACTCTTTTTTTTTTTATAAGAATATTGTTTTTCCGGCCCAGGCTGAATATTCTTATTTTTCTGCCGATTTTAGGCTGAAAATATTCTTGTATTATTCTTAAATTATAGCTTATGACATTTCCGTTTTAGAATTTATTGGGGTATATGTATATATATTACATGTACCGTTCATCGAACTGACATTAGCGTTGAACATTTTGCTATAGCTAGTGCAGGTTTTTTCGTTTTGTTGGCTAGTTTCGCCGTTCAGAGAAAGGAATAATTTTATACGGTTAAGTTAAAAACATAGAATTGTATTGTATTTACAGATTTTCAACACACAAAATTATATCTATCCTTTTCAAAATCTCAGCCTTGGCTTTATTCTTAAAATATTCTTAATATTTCGCAAAT